GGTCGAAGACGAGCAATAATCGGCCCGTTCTCAGACCTCAAAAAACCGATAAAGACGAGCAAGATGTGGCAAAAGTAGTTCGAACTAACAGGCAGTCAACCGTCTCGCATGAGTCCATACAAAACATTTTAACCGACAATGATTTGCAAATAAGAACATCGATTGTAAAATTTGTTTCTAGACCTTTGACTGGCGAGCGCAAAAGGAAAATGGTGTGTCAATTTGCTTGAAAAGGTCGTCTTGATACTGACCCGGGCATGGTCAAAACTAACTATACATGAAAGCTGGGTGTACGACTATATCTCTGGAACAAAAATGCAAAGTTTTCAGTATAAAACGTGCCTCCTCGTCTTAAGATGGCAGGCAATCGATGTCGAATGTCATGTTCATAGTTTTTGTATCATAGTCCGATCAGTGTTCGTTCCAAAGGGAAGCTCCAAATATTGGCACACTTCAATTTTATTCGATAGTTTTTCGCATGCTATGAATGTCTGTCCACATCCACCTCATTCTCCGGATGTAACACATATGATTCCTCGTTCTTCCCACAAATAAAAACCAACTATCATGGAATCATCGGGATAAATACATCGCTAGCGAAGAAGATAACTTTGAAGGGGTTTAATTTAAATTTGATATGCACCGAGTGATTTATGCGTAGTGAAATTATTCACAGTATTTTTTGATCATAACTCGTATTGCAGAATAGTCCAACATATGTTGTTGGTTACGTAAGCGTTCTTTAGAGATCTCTTCAGGTTCGCAGTACTGTTGACATTTTGTTAGACAATTCGCACAAATATGTACCAGATTTCCTTAAACAAAGAGCTATTTTGTCTTGAGCAAGGAGCACCTGCGGCATGGAATTTCAAATAATAGGTATCTAGATTGCATCAAATAGAAAAATGAATCGATCCTTAGAGCAAAGATACGAAATGTTCTTGGCCCATGTATCAAAATAATTCTGTCCATATGTCCCACCTCAGAGGTGAAGAATACTTTCGACATCCAATATTCTTACTGTTACAAATAGGACCAGACTTGGATGCCCTTCACATATATATATATATATATATATAGAAACTGCTCCGATTACACTGAAATACTTGATGCACTTCACTATTTGGCAATCTGACTAATCAAGGCATTCCTCTAATATGCACTTCTATCTAGTTCTTCTATGTGCTAACAGAATCAGTTTCTCTGAAGCTGTCGCATTCCGTATTTGTTGGATCGACTGACTGAGCTTTCGTCGTGCCCTCTACAACGCGAATAAGCTGGTTAAGCAAGGCTATCATTTTTTTCTAGAACAATGACAGTGTGGTATAATGTACTAGAATAGCCTTTGCCATGTCTTGCTGATTTCAAACAGCTCAAAACTCATGTTATCAAATTCTTTATGACTGTTTTCTTGAAGATTGGCTCTCTCCTCTTGATTCACCCTATATACGCATACCATTAGCATGGGGATACCACGAACACGTTCTGCGAGCATCCTGCGAAAAATCTAATGGGCAACCCCATTTATCATTGTTGCACCTGTATCAGATAACCTGAGATGAGTTAGAAGGGGCCAGCGCACACGAAAGATTCTCCGATTCTTCCTAAGTAATCCTAAATTTATATATCATCCTTTAGTTAAGTCATTTTATTTTAGCTATGACAGAACTTGATATGGTAAATATGCCACATGTTCCAAGAGTATCTTCTTCATTTTTGAGTATGCGTGTTGTAAAATTTAAAATCGTATCTAACATGATATCAATTCGTGTGGTTTCATTGGTATTGAGGACTATACAGGTAAAAGTAAACCGCTACTTAACCGAACGCATACATGCTTTTTGTAGTATGAAACGAAATGAAGCGACTCAGAAGCCTATCAGGTACTAAAATATTCGTGGCAATATTATCAAATACAATCACATGCAAAGCAAATACACTGGATAGATCGAATTTCTCCTTTTACATCCAACCCATGAACCGCCATCATTAAAAGTTACTTACATAGTAGTCATTTGAAAATTTAATACCTGATTAACAGGGAAAACGCCGAGACACGTCAAAAGATTGGTCAACTATTTAAGCAAAAACTACTTCACCCCCTTTCACCCTATTTTGACGTTTGATTCGTTTTCGAGAAAATCTTTATTTATCTTGATTTGTTCAGGTAGAAAACAAAAACACACGAAAATATCACTTTTTATTTCAATAAATGTTCAAAATGTTGCCCGTTAGGGTTTGCGAAATCTACAATTCGTTTATAGTTTAAAACGGAAACTATCAACATAATCAGCAGTTCGGAAGATTAGTCGTGAAAACAACCAAATAACAACGCGAATTTTTTTCAGAATTCTTTTCATCAACACAGATATCCTGGGCGAACTGTATTTATTTTTATATCTGTTTAGTTATTTGTTGCTAAGGGAAAGAAAGAATTTAGTTTGCTGTCAGGCACCTTTGTGACAATCTTGGGATAGTGAAAATTAATTTATTGGTTCAGATTTTACTTCCAAAATGGTTTACATACTAGCCGAAATAGTGCAAGTGATTCTAATTTATAGTGCCCAAAATCAATGTGCTCGGCAAACTTCCGTCACATTTAACGCCAGGCATCCGGGAAGGATAACTTCTCATAGGTATGTTTTGGACCTTCTTACTAAATTTACTCAAACGTGATCATCGGAGAGTTTTGGATGAAGCCGCTCAAGTTTTGGGTCATTTTGGTATAAATCTTAATACTTCATTACCCAAAATTGTTGCTGCGACTGATATTTCGTTAGGCTCTGTACACACAGTTACTAAACTCCATAAATTTCATCCATTCAAAATGAAAATATTGCAAAAGTTAACCGAAGATGATTTCGATAGGCGAGTTGACTGCAGCGATTAGTGATAATACCATTCTGGTAAAGAATATCTGCTTCTGTGAAGAATGCAAATGGATTTGTTAATAAGCATAGCTGCAGGTATTGGAGCAATGAAAATTAGGAAACAAAGTGATTGGGCCATTGTTTATTAACGAAAATTTGAATGGAGGCATTTATTTGGATATGTTAGAAAATTCCATCAATCCGTTTATCACTGAAACCATTGAAAACCAAATGGAAGAGGATAGAGACCCTAAACTTGATGAGGCTGAAATACATTTCCAGCAAGACTCACTATGTTCTTCCGGTTCGGCAATGGCTAGACGATGGGTTTTCAGATAGATAAATACGGCGGCCTACTGAATTTGACGTCATTAGACTCTTTTCTATGGAGCCATTTGAAATCTATTGTATTTACTCCCCAACCTGAATGTTTGGATGAACTTTAACGCATCATCGAAAGCTGCCCCGATATCCCATAAGATGTTTTTGAAAATGAATTTTCTTCATCGCTTATATCATTGTTTGGTCAATAACGGGCCATTTTGAACACTTATTGGAATGAAAAGTGATATTTTCATGTGTTTTTGTTTTCTATATAAACAAATTAAGATAAATAAAGATTTTTCTAACTTTCTTGAAAACGCATCAACCGGTTTTAAGAAATCAAACGTCAAAATAAAGAACTTCAAAAGACCTTTCAATCAAGCTAGTACTTGATACACCTTAAAAACTTTCAAGGGGATGACCCTAAGGTGAAGTAGTTTTTGGTTAAAAAGTTGTCCCCCTTGACAAATATTGTGGTTTTCGATAAATCCGTGGAGGTAAGTTTTCAAATAAACACGCTGTATGAGTAAACAATTAAATTACTCGATGTGGCTTGCTGGATAATATCTCAGATCTGGCCCGAAGCTCTATCCTGAAGAGTACATATATGGAGGAATGAGGTTTTGTGGAATTTTCGGGTTCTAGCTCTTCAAAGTTTGGAGATTCTCTAAGGAAGTCAAAAATGACCTCCAAATTGAAAAGTTATTTTTTTGAAATTCTTACTGGTTTACTGATCTGACACTTGCCTTCTTGAAATGAAAAATTAAACAAACAAAATTATTTTTTGGGGTGGAGCACGTTTTAGATCTATTTGTCGAAATTTTGAACCAAAATTGACCATTCTTATGATATTGTGGGGTAATATTTTCCAATTACAGGAGAAATTTAAATTTTTGTCGAATCTCCAAGCTTTTAGAGCGCCTCCAGATCAAACCGTTTAACCTAGGACCGTGAAATTTCACACAAATTTCACACAATTTCTTACGTATCCCTCAGAAACGAGCCAGATCTGAGATATGACAGCCAGGCCGGGTCGTGGGATTTTACTTTTGACACATAAACTTATTCGTTAAACCTACTCCAATAAACTGGGATAGGCTGTAAAAGAACCGTCGCTCCTATTTGACCATCAGACAGCAAGATATATTTTCAAACATAATAAATGATTCTGCAAGATAGGTGCTGTGCTTGTAAATTCATTTTTATACTATCTATACGAACAGCTTTTTACAATGTTGAACTTATATTTTGTCAGTCATAAAAATGAGGAGGATTAAGTCAATGGTTTCGGTAGAAACCAAGCAAACAAATGAATGATTTCAGGCGAAGCGAATACTGTATTTGCCGTTAACCTTATTTTTGTAATTAGTTAATTGGTGTTACAAATATGACAATAAAACAAATCAATAATCCTGGTACTATTTTTGTAATGACTCATTCAAGCGCCCGTCGTCGAGTAGTGCATACAAAAACCACGTAAGTCCCGAAGTGTTATTTATAAATTAATATCGAAATGTGAGTTATGTGTCATTGAAGTTCAGTTGCCAGAGGAATGGAGCAAAGCTGATTTGACTCCGGCCACTGTAAAAACGCGTCACCCTGTATATGCGGCTTTGTGCAAGCACTAAAATATAAAAAGCTACAGGCCTTCCTAATTCACGGTATGCTGCAAAAAAATGTCGAAATATATACGATGAGCTTGGACTCGGGCATCTGATTCGATACTAGTAACTCCAGTTTTCGACCTTCGCAAAAATCCGTTACATATATATAAAGGAATTTTTTAGAACATCGCTAGTCAGTAAAGTTTAGGCACTACATCCAAAACATGAAAGCCGTATCGGTAAGCACAACTCATTTGAAATTTAAGACAGATCTTTTCGATTATTGTTAAATTAAACCATTTGCCCTTTGCGAACATTGTGATTTTTTGATTCCAAACTATACTTAATTCAAACATATTGCTGTTACATACTGTCATGTAGTCAGATATTACTTTTCAAGTATGAGTAAATCTTGAGGTACAACAAATTGAGTTTAGATGTTCACGGTTCAAACCGATATATTTGCCTATATTCTACTAGTTAGCCTGTAGTTTGGTGTATTGATTGATTGATGCTTGCCCATCATCAGCCTTCATACTTCAGGAAAATAACCATAAATCTTGCAAACACTGCAGCTGCTTTTACAATGCTTTAATCTACCTATATAAAAAATAACGTGAGAAAATCTGTCACCATAAAAACGGCACTTAAGTATCTAACAGATGTTTCTCAACATGGGCTTTCTCTTCCAAATTCATAAAAGCATTCCAACTTTTACCTCCATTTTAATAAAGTTGTGTTTAAACGCATAATTCATATTTATTACAACTTGAACTCGGTAGGACATTAGCATGGGCGACCATAAATTATATAGTAGCTAGAAAACTTTGAGAGAATAACTGTATAGTAGTTTATGTTTATTGAACGTGTGTTGTATTCACGGAATTCTTGATCACTATAAAACATAGAACAGATTCATGTGGGAGGGTTATACGCCAAACTTGATCCATGTGCAATTGCTCATCATAAAAAAATAATAAAATCACATATGGGGTTTATAGTTTGGAATGAAGTGCTTTATGATATAATGATAAACATTATTGTGAAAAGGAACAGGTTGTACTCCTGATTTAGGCAATAAAAAGGTGGTTAATGTTTTGCTAAAAAGCAATTCATTTTGATTGTTTAATTTGTGTGCAAATTTCAACCCAAATAAACAACTATAATTGGAAGTACGACTCAACTACCTAATATGCATTTTCATTTTCTTTCTTCTTTCAGAGGATAGCGGTTTTAGCCTTCCTGGCTCTATCGGCAGTACCCGGAGACAGTACTACTGATAAGAAGTCCACTAAACGTAGTGTCATAGGTTCACCACTAGGATACGGATATGGATACGCCGGCATCCCATCCGGAGATTTTGGAGTTGCTGGTATTGCTGGGCTAGCGAAAACGTACGAATATGGATTGGCCGATAGCGCTATCGCTGGTAGTGGATTGGCAAGCGGAATAGCACACTGTAAGTCTAGCTATATACTTAACTATAGCTTTTTCAATCTTAGTTGCTCAAAAATAGCAAACAAAAAGGAAATCTATATTTCTTAAAAGGACTAAATGACTTTTATAGAAATTTAAATTCCGTACCTTTTTTTAGTTTTTCGTTACTTTAAAAGGCTCTCCAGCCTTAATATTTCACGTGGATTTCTTCGTAATATAGGATGATGAGTTTCCAAGACGTTAATTGGTTGCTTATTTTATTTTCGTCACACTACACTAGATTGGAAACCAATTTTCCTCAATTGTTGGATTTGAGAGGAAGTACTTTTCAAACCAATAAAAATTGATTATCATTTTGTTGCTCAATTAAGAATATTCACCTCTTAAAAACAGTATCAAAATGTTCCGAAGCTTCTTTTTCTGTACGCCTTTCCAGTATCCATTTTTGGGCATTTTCTCCAAACAAAACTGTGTTGTACTATTCTCAAGTTACAAAATTTTTGCTGAAGGCGAAAAATTGTATATCTTCACATTTGATTTCTTTCGGAAATCTCATCCTTTTACTATGCCTTTTTGCCGTTAAGTTAAATGGACCACTAAGACAAAGCTTTATCGATTTGAATTTGAAAAAAATATTCTTTTCTAGCTGGTTCAGTGTACGCTGGCGCCGTCCCCCATACCCACCAGTACCGGCACAGTACCCAGGAGCACCATGTATCTCTGCCCCATCCAGTCCCAGTACCAATCACCAGGACAGTGAGCGTGCCCCAGCCTATCCCAGTTGACGTCCCGCACCCAGTGCCCGTCCCTGTGCACACACCTGTCCCTGTGGACGTACCCAGGCCGTACCACGTTTCCGTACCACAGCCTGTGCCCGTTCCAGTACATACACCTGTTCCAGTAGATGTACCTAGGCCATATCCAGTTGAGGTGACCAGGACTGTTCCTGTCGAAGTCAGCAGGCCAGTCTACATTAAGGTGGGTGGAAACTTGTCAAGCGGGATACTTACAGTTTATCAACATATTTTGAAAAAGCATTCAATTCTTAATTGAGGGTAGTGGGGCGGCATTAGAGTCAGTAATTAGAATAGATAGAATAAGGAAGAATCGAAACTGAAGAATATTGATATCTTGTCAGACACATTTATATAAAACTCCATCAACAAGAAATTGCAAAGTGCTGTTGTGAATGTTCTAATCTCATATGTATTTAACTACTGATCCGTAATATTCTCAATAAGCGGATGCTGCTAATGCACATTGTTAATTGGAAAATATTATAACACATACAAAATGTTATTCTGAATTATCAGTGGTAATCTCGACGTTTAATCCTGTTAATTCTGTAAATGTTGTACGATCTGGAATTATCAATTGGGTAATAAACATTTAATTATTACAAATGAATCGATAATTGAATTCACACAGGACACAGGACTAAAAATGAAATGGTCGAAATTTAATTCGTATAAAACAAGTCTACGAACTAACATACTAATTCAACAAATTAAAATTAATTGTACAATATACCTACGTATGAAATCATGAAACGGTCGAACGGAGCCTTAGATGACAAAGCGATAATTCATATAGCCCTTCCGATGTTTATTTGCATCAGAAATCTGAAGTCTGGATACAGGCCAAAGGACGAGGAGCTATATGGATTGATTGATTTGATTTTTTATTTATATAGTTCAAAAGATATGTATTTTACATTTTTATCGACATATTCTTTCCATCTTAGTACTTGATTGTTTTTTAAGAGCCCAAATTTAGCAATTTTGGCATTCTTGTCCAAAATTCACCCACTCTCGACTATTTAGCTTAATATTCTTATACGAGCGCGTAATCGCTTTAACATTTACACTTCAAATATATAATGAAACACACTAGGACACAAGATATACATAAAAATAACACTGCGCTAACAATAAAAACAGAAGTTGAAAAAAATTAGTTCACGATTACAATGAGACTTCAAGTTTAGTTTGTAATGTGAGCGAAGCGGATATTTTGTGCCTTAGTTTCTTAGATTTGAATTAGTACCTTGGGCTAAGATGAAAAGACAAATGTTAACAAGTATAAAATACATGTGCTATAAAACTATTAAATCAAAAAAATTTATAGATACGTTCAATAGGAATTTGAGTAATTTTCAGTCGAAAGCCCTGCTTTCAGACCCCGATCCTTTTGTTACTGTTCACCGACAAACAATAATGTTATGCGTTCTTAGTTGCCAGCCACCTTGGTTGTAAGAATGAGCTTCTCTCTTCTATCTCACTATATGCGCAGTATTTTTCAGAGGATTTGCTACCATCCCTAAGATCTTCTTTTCCAGGAAAGACATCCAGTCCCAGTGCCCGTACCTCAAGCAGTTCCAGTAGAAGTACCAACTCCAGTAGCTGTCAGAGTGCCACAGCCAATCACAGTCCACGTTCCTCAAGTTGTCAAGACTGTATCAGTGTCTGGTGACCCGCATGCTTTAGGTCATGCCTTTGGACGGTTGGGACACCACGTTTACGCAGATGCAGGGGCCACCAGTGGTGCCCTGGCAACGGGTTACGGCGGAGCTTTGGCATCTGGATATGGTAACGCTTTCAGCACAGGTAAGATACATTGGTTAAGGCTTTCGCGGCCAGTTGATAAACTGCTGTCTTGATTCGGGTCTAAATGCTGTCGTCGGTTGGAATTTCTTCCTAACGTTTCGCTAGCACGAGTGGCAAGCATCTTCAGAGGTCCTTCCATTTCCGATGCTGGCTGTAGACAAGAAATTCCAACCAACTACGGCCTTTAGACCCGAATCACGACAGCAGTTTTCAGATTGAAGGAATTCATCAAACGAAGATTCTTACAGACCAATCACTATCGACATGACCTTTGTAACGATAAAAATATATCAAGTAAATCTTCATTCAAACTGAAAAACCCAGATTTCTAGACTTCAGATTTTTCTAACATCCTATTACTTATGGCGTACCAAAAATTGTCAAACGTCTGCGTTGAAAAAATAGCGTCAAGTAGGTTGACCCTGCACTTCTCAGGTAATGCTGTCATCAGTTCATAAAGGATTAGAAAGTTAGTTACGAATATGTATGTATATCACAAAAAATCGATCAATTCAGTCCCATAGTTCTATACAATTAGTCTATATTTCCCATCCATTGACAACGATCAAGAAATTTCTGCGCTGTCCTACCTACAGTGCCGACCATCTGGCGACGTTGCTATGACTGACCTCGCAACTCGCCAGGCGAGGCCATCTGTCACAACATGACTCGGGTATGGTGTGTGGAAATGTATGTGGTAATCTATGATCTGTTAAATATGTCCTATAAGTGCATAGAATGGGCGGGGTTGGAAGCGTGTAAATATGATAACGCGATAAAATCGTGCTTTATTCTCCCCACCTTCTAAAAACTTTTAACCTCTACAAACGTTTTTTCTGAAAATGGTCCAGAGTCACTCAAACGTCCCCAAATCCATCTCCACTGGACCGTTTTTCCAAAACTACAGTCTTTTTGGCCTTGCCATAGTAGTAATCTTGCGTGGAGATTCCATCAACATCTGTACGATAACTTCCAAGTTATAGACGGGCCAAGGATTAGCGAACAGACGGAAAAGGGTGACAAGATATCCGTACATGTCATATACAAAAAATATAAAAGCACATTTTCAAAATTTTTACAATAATACGTCTTTGCCAGTGACGTGGATGGTGAAATCTGTAAAAACTGTATGAAGGCTGGACTCCACTTGCAAGTAAAATTCCTAAATTAAAAGCTTTTTGGAAGTTCTGATCAAATAATTCGACTGATAATACCTTGATATTAACTAGCAAAACGTTACTGTTAATAGAAAACTGATGGGTTCTGGGAGTTAATTTTAAAGAAATTTAAACATTTTTCCGATTAAAATGCTTATGATTGCCTGAGAGAAGTACAGTGTTAACCTACGTGAAACCATTTTTCACTATCTACTAAGATAAACAAGTACTGATGTGAGCGATCTCAACAAGTAATTTGTAAACCTAATAGAATTAGCAAAAAACGAAATAAAGGATATCGTAAATTATAGCAGCAGCAGAAATAGGTATATTAAGCTGATACAAATGATATTTCATTTCAAAATCGATTCCGATCCTGTTTCCCTTAAGGCGCAGTTTCGTGCAGATGCAGTAACAGGAGACCGCGAAGCTATGGGCATAAGACTGATATAGCACGTCTGCCACTGTCACTCCTAAATACTCAAATCCCACTTTATGAAAGTATGAAAAAGGCTTAAGAGGCACAAAGCAATGAAAGTTTGGCAGTGACAGATTTGTAGTTTGCCTGCTATGCGAAGTGCAGTTTTGGTCCTAAACTTTGTCTCCTGTCGCTGTTTCCGCGCGGACCGGCCCATTTAAACGTGAGAAATAATATAGAGTATCTCTTTTAAAGGTGAATTGTACAAGACTGGGGGCATCAGCGCTTACTCCTCAGCTTCAGCAGCAGCTGACCTTTCCTCCAGCTACGGTGGTAGCTACGGATACGGTGGATCTGCTACAAGCGGAGGCTTGCTGAGCTCTTACATCCCCAGCTCTATCGGAGGCTACAACTCTATCCACGCCAAAACCTCTTACTGATCGAATTAAGCACACCGTGAATGTTGAAGCCATATGCATTTAGGAGAATTGTTGTGTATTTATTTCATTCATAGCATGTCACACGTATACTGGGTCGCAAGTTATAACGATTGTCCATGATGAAAATGCAATAAAACTATTTGTAAGTACATACTTGAATTTTTATTTCGTTGTATCCCTACAGCGTCACACTTGACTCCACACTATCCAATGGCACTTGAGCCTACATCCTTCGTCGTAATTCAGGTGTAAAAAAACTATGCAAGAAGATGGTATTAAACAGCTTTTTCATGAAATCAAGGATCCGGCTATTATGCCTCGAATAACATCTACAAGGTTTGATGAACACTTGGATTTTCTTATAGTGGAGGTCCGTTAGACGTAGAAACAAGAATACCGCCTAAACCTAAGTGAAATGGATATATTGTTTTGATACTATCAGTAGAATATGTTTAGGCTACAGTATATACGAGCCCCTTCCCACTTCAGTTGGCCCAACGATTGAAATCTTAGTTTTTTCATTTCAATGCAAAATAAGTCTATAACGCATAGGTGGCTGTGAAAAATAAAAGCCATGACAATTGTTATTATTAATCACAGCTGTCAGAATACGTTTAAAATAGTTTTGGATAGTTAAGGTTTTCAAAATGGGTAGAGGAAAGGTTGTTAGTGAGAAAATTCGGTTACTGATAATTAATTTTTTTAATTCTGGGAAATCAAACTCAGAAATTGCAACTTTGTTAGACTTATCGCGGTACAGTGTGAAAACTATTGTTAAAAGATATAACGTAACTGGTTCAGTTAATATTAAGCCACGATATGTGAAAAAAAGCAATATCACAAATGCCGACCGAAGAGCATTAAGAAGAATAATCGTGAAAATCAGGCGTGCCAATTATTTACAATTAAGTGCTCTGTAGAGTGACGCTGTTGGAAGGAGAATTTCGAGGTCCACAACTCATAGAGAGACCCACAAACTGGGATTTAGCACTTGCAAGGTGAGTTTTCTTATAAAAAAGTGAAGTAAAAACCCTAAAGTTGCACAACTTGTTTATAGGCCAATGAAGAGCCACTATTAACTCCACTGCAAAATAAAAATCGGCTTAGATGGGCTAAAGAACATAGACAATGGACACCTCAACAATGGCGTGCAATACAATGGAGTGATGAGGCCCGATTCGAAGTTTGTGTTGGTGACAGTCGCAGTAGAGTTATTCGCAAAAAAAATGAAGCATTCCATGTTGACTGTCTGAAGAGAAAAGTGAAATTTCCAGCATCCATTATTATTAAATTATTATTAAAACTTCATTATATTGATGGCAATGTGGATACAAACAAATATTTGGCAATTTTAGAAGAATAGCTTTTACCAGTGATGGAAGAATGTTTGACATCCAGCCAAGATTTTGTGTTTCAGCAAGATGTTGCAGCCTGCCATACCTCAAAAAAGGCTATAAAATGGATGGAAGAAAATAATGTACCACTTTTGAAATGGGCTTCTAGCAGTTCAGATCTGTCACCTATTGAAACTTTGTGGCACGAGATGAAAAAGGTTCTACGACAACATCATGCTCGTACAATCACCGAACTGAGACAAAAGCTTCAAGAAATATGGGATTGTTTTACACCAAATTTTTGCCAAAACTGGGTTAACACTATGCCCCAAAGAATTTCAGCCGTAATAAAAAATAAAGGTGATGTTACCCAATGGTAATCTTACAATTGTTGCTTTGTTAACTTCGCGCATTTATTCGCACATTGTTTATTTGTTCAGACCTTCTATTAGTTATAGGTCTAAGTGATTTCAAATATGTATTTTTTACGACTAGAGTGTATCTAAAATGTTTTTGAGAAAATAAATTGTTTCAGAAGTAAATAGTTTCGTCATGTTTAGTTTATAAAGGCATATTTTGGTACAAATCTTGAAGTGAGCCAACTGAAGTGGGAAGGGGCTCGTATATACAGGGCCCATCCATGTGTGGACGGAATATTACTCAGAAACAAATACATTTTGGGAAAATCTATTAATGGGATGTTATACATGACATTTGAGGGCACATTTATAAAATATTGGCAATTATACAGGGTGTCCCAATTTCGAGCTACATATCAAAGTTATGATTTTTCAAATGGAATTCCTCAAATTTTATTGCATATTTGGATAAAACAATTCAAAAGAAGAAGATTAATGTAACATAGTATGGGGTTTTGGTAATTAGCTACTGAGATGTAAGGTGCTTTGTCCAGGAAAAACCCCCACTTCGGCAACCCCTCAGTCCGCCATAATGACATTTGGAGTGCTGAACTTTATACCAAAAAAAACATTCACACCTCAGCATTTATCTTATTTGTTACTTTTTCAAATTTTAATTTTTGCTCATACAGGGTGGTCAAAAACGCAATTGTAGTCCTTCAAATGCATCACCTTGTATATTTGTGCAAGTTTGGATTTAGTTTTTTATAAGCGTTTTTTGTTAATATACACGTAAGGGTTTTTACGGCTATTTTTTCGGTTAATAGCACGTCTTTTTTGAAACGGCTTAATTACCTAAAATATCGCATTATCCGTGGAAACAAATAAATTGTTGAATGGTTACAAACTTTTAAAATTAGCTTTGTGAGATTTATAATAAAAACGTGTTTGAAAATGAATTTTTCTAAAGAAGAAATGGTGAATATGGTGTTCGTTTTGGGCGAAGCCCAAAAAAATAGTTTCCTAGCATCTCGCATTTATAAGCAACGGTACTCTAATATGCGACATCCAAGGCAGGAAACATTTTCCAAACTACGATAACGTTTTAAATCAAGCAAAACAGTGGTATATAGTAAAAAATGTATAAATAATCCAAGTGTCACCAATGAGGCAAATCAGTTGGAGGTTCTACTAAAGTTGCAGGAAACTCTCCATTTAAGTGCACGGCAAATTGGAGCAGAAACTGATATATGCAGAACTTCTGTCCAAAGGATTATTGACAAGCACAGGTACCGTCCATATCACTTATGCTTGCATCAAGGCCTTCGTCCTCAGGATTTCGCAGCTCGAATGGAGTTTAGTCGAATAATGCTAAATAAAGTGAGTGAAGACACTACCCAACTAACAACTATCACTCCTATTAGAGTTGCAAGAATGATTATACAGTATTCCTTACACAGCATTGTATACTGGAAGAACATTGGCAAAACCCTCTCAGAACAGCTATACAAGCGGAATGGGCACACCTAATAGGACACTTCAGTCATTTAAGAGGTTGTATAAGGGCTGCAGGTAACAGTTATACAACAAAAGTGTAAGCCCCTTGCAGCCGCTATAGGACATTTGCGTCAGTGCAAGATTCAGTTTTTTCAACTATACAACTATTCTGTTACGTGATTCTACTTTATTGCAACCAAACTATTTCTTATGTATTGCATAGACGAAGTGAAGCATATATAACTAACACATTACAGTCATCTTGTTTACTTACATATCGGCCATTGTGAATTTCATACACAGGTATATGATAAACTTCTACACTGTGATATAGGGCTATTGAATTACTTGCGCAGCAAATTTTATTGTGATTATCGTGCATAGTAGTTACGCAATTTCTACGGGCTTCTTATTTGATGCATATTTTGATAATGATCAAAAGTATGTCTAGATTTTTAAGATGGAATACTGAACTTATCTGCGTCAAATCTTCCACAAATCCTATATTTAGACACAATTACACTAATGTTTATCACTTTATATCTCTAATTTCGAACTGAAACATAATTATGTAATATTAAATAGAGGAATAAATGTTTGCCCAATATGGCGGGTGGTTGTGTATAATCATGGCATCGTCCATGTTGTCTTCAGTGTATTAGAATATTTTGGTGTTGCCTGCAGGTGTTATACAACAATTTGACAAATGTCTGTAATGAAATACCGACAGAGTCGAATGATTTACCCAGAATTTGTACCAGATCTATATCTTCTTTTTGAACAGTTGATAAAACCTTTTGAAGCAATATGCATGCGTTGTTTGTCTCAAATCAAAAATATGACAGCAGAAAGTTAGGTTATGGTGAAGTTGTATACCAACATATTTAGCATATGTACAGCCTTTAACAGTTACTAAACAACAGTTGTATAAGTGCTTCCGTTGGGAGCAACTTGTTGGCTAAAGTAGTAAATTAGCACAGCAAAACAAGAAGGCTCGGGTTTGTTTTATAAACGTTACCATGGATGCCACAACACAACCATTTTGACTAACGTGCAAATATGCCGTATAAAATAGTTGTATAAACGTTTATGCAACAGTTAAAAATTTGTCCTATAAAGTGTTGTATAACTATGCTAAAGAATATTTTAAACACCTCATTTTAGAGCAACTATGTTGCAGAAAGCAAATTTGCATTCCACACAACATTAAGCCAGCATTTTGGTGTTCAGGCAACAACTATAGAGAGCTTTTATGGCTGAACGGTTCTTTTACCAAAAGCTTATAGCACTACTTTGCTAGTTGGGTACTTTCCTGGATAAGGTTCTTTTTAGCGATGAGGCAATTTTTAACAGCATAGGTGTTGTGAACAGGCTATAACATGCACTATTATGCGACGGAAAACCCTTACTGGGTTAGACAAATAGATTTCCAAAATAAATGGAGCTTGAATGTTTGGGGAGGAATTATTGGCAGACAAGTTATCGGGCCTTTCTTTTTCGACAACACATTAACAGGTACAGAATACTTGAATTTTCTGATCGAGCATTTGCCTTTGCTTTTGGAGGATGCCAACCTGCAAACTCGGATGCATATGTACTTCCAACATGACGGCGCACCTGCGCATTATCATAGTCGTGTACGTAACTATTTGGACACCTGGAGTAACAATCGTTGGATCAGTCGTGATGGGCCTATATCTTGGCCTCCTAGATCACCAGGTATGACTCCGATGGACTTCTTTCTATGGGGCTACGTTAAGCAAGAGGTTTATAGATATCCACCATCTACCCCGGAAAATATGAAGGAAAGGATTAAGGATGCTTTTCTGAACATAAGGGTACACATGCTGGGGATGTGCAACTGTCATTTATCCAAAGACTACGGCTGCTTGTTTATGTTGTTTTTATAGTTGTTTTTCTCTATTACGCTCGAAACTGATTTACACTGATCTAAGTA